TCATTGAAGACCAAATGGATATTATTTTCGACCACAATTTAATACATGCAATACATCAGAGACTCCTAATAATAAATACATGAGTCGGGAATATAAATTTACATAAATGTATACGATATTTCTATAAATATCGGTGCAAGATATTTTCATCTTGCTAAGCAAAAAAAGAAAAGAAGATATTTTCATCAAGAATATTTTATGATATATAATCATGAAGCATTGAATTAGGTCCATACGGTCCCATTAACACATCACAAATACTTAAATACTCGAAAGTGAAAAAAGAAAAAAGAAAACAACTTATAGCAGACGTATTCATGATAAGAATGGATTGTGTAAGGTGTCACATTTTACGTGTGCACACGATAAGAGACACGTGTGTTCATGCTTTTTTAAACCTTTTTTTTCCCGTAACAAGGGCTTACTAATTTTATAAACTCTATGGAGACGTTAAATCTATTTATTTAAAATATTTTATAAAGAAACATACAAAAGAACATCCAAAATAAATTAACCCTTGGTTTAATCACTGGGTTAGATGGACTTCCACGAACTTCTTACTTCACATACTTTATACTTATAGAGTTTGTATTCTGGTTTTGTTTTTATGTATTTTGGAAAAGAAAAAAAAATATTTTGCGATTACATTTAAGTTTTGATTGAACAAAAACTTTAAATTAAATTTTTAAAAATTGGAAATGTCCTAAAGATTTTTTGACTTTTATGAAACACGTTATCGAATGATTTTGTATAACTCTAAGTAGTCAATTCTTTGAGAGTATCAAATTAATTAATATTAAGAGGTCATAGATGCTCTCTTCCAAAATGGAGACTAGAGCTTTTCTCATGAAGAAATGAGATAAGGAAATAAAAGCATGCTTATTGGTAAACCTCATTGAGCATCATTAACAATAATTTATTATTAATTTTATTAGTAGTTTAATCTTTGAGACTCAATTAGATTTTTATGATTTTGGTATGTCCAATGGTGATACTCAATTGGGATTCT